CCTCCCCCCCCTTCCTGCTTTCTTCTTCTTCTTGTGTGTGGGTGTACTGGAGATTGAAATCGGGACCTTTTCTTTTCTTTTTTGAGACAGGGTCTCTCTATGTAGCTCAGGCTGGCCTCGAATTTGCCACAATACTGCCTCAGCCTCCCAAGTGCTGGGATTACAGGTGTGAAACCCCATGCCTGACTGCATTTTGTATGCTTGATGCAAGCCGTTCTGACTATGGCCAGAGAAAATTGTAGCTTCAATTTGGAAAAACCACTCAATTCTTTTGCCAGGCTGCATGATATTTCACTGTGTGGAGAAGCACATTTTGATTGGTACGATGGATGCACACTGGAGTTGCTTCCACCTTTTGGTGTTGTGAATCATGCTGCTGTGAGCATGGGTGTACAACGTGTGGTTGACCCCTGCCTTCAGTTTGTCTGGGATTTACCTGGGAGTGGATTTCTGGGCCTTGTGATAATTCAAGTTTTTGAGGTATCAACTTCTCAATAGTGGCTCCACTATTTTACATTCCTCCCATAGTGCGTCAGAGTTCTAATGCCTCCCTGTCTGTTAATATTTTGTTTTCTCTTAAAAAGAAGGCTAGGTAGGCATGGTGGGATACACCTATGATCCCCTCATTTCAGGAGGCTGAGGCAGGAGGGTCTCCATGAGTTCAAGGCCATGCTGGGCTAACACAGCAAGACCTCAGGAATGCAGCATTTGGGTAGAAGGCATTAAGGCCTGCAGTACAATCTTCAGCTCTGCAAAAAATAAAAAGAGCCAGGCACAGTGTGGGAGGCTGAGGCGGGAGGAGCTCAGCCTGGGCAATTTAGCAAGACCCTGCCTCAAAATATTAAAAGGAGCCAGGCATGGTGTCACACACCTGTAATCCCAACACTCAGGAGGCTGAGGCAGGAGGACTGCCATGAGTTCAAGGCCAGCCTGGGCTACATAGTAAGTTCAGGTCCAGCCTGAACTACAAAGGGAAACCCTGCCTCAACAAACCAACCAAACAAACAAACAAACAAAAAATTAAAAGGGCTTGGGTTGGAGCTTACTTAGTACGAAGGTCCTCGGTTCCATCCCCAATGGGGGGAAATAGAGGGACAAAGTTGGCAACACAGTGATATGAGGTTAATAAGGCAGCAAACAGTCCAGGAACATGGAGACATTTGACCCAAAGACCCTTTTCTCTGTTCTGTGCAATGAAATCTTCATACCAACCTCAGAAAGATTGAGAAAATATAAAAGAAATATTGAAAACATAGGAAGAACAACAACAAAACACTTGCTAGCATGTGCCAAGGCCCTGGGGTCCAAACCCAGCATCTCAACAAAAAGGAAAAAAGAAAAGAAAAAGAAAAAAACCTCTCTTCTGATAAAAGCCAGCTGGCCTTGGGGCCAATTTCCTGGTCTTCCTTCCGGGTGATATCACAGCCCAGTCATGGCTGGGGGAGGACCTGGGCCCTGTGCTTTATCAGCAGGCAGCAGATTCGGGTGGGGCTTTGAGACCAAATTCCGGCCCTGCCCCTGAGCCTCCTCTGCCAAACCCTGTTCTCACTTCGGCTGCTGGGTGCACTGTAAAGATGGTTGCTTCTCACTTCCTTCCTCTTTCTCATCCTATTTACGTAAATGTGTCCACAGGCATTCTCAATTTTTCATCTAGAGAGGAAGCCAGGTTTAAAAGTTATGCTCAAAGCCAGGCGTGGTGGTGCATGCCTGTAATCCCAGCACTTGGGAGGCTGAGACAGGAGGATCCCTGTGAGTTCGAGACCAGCCTGGGCTACATAGTGAGTTCCAGGTCAGTCTCAAATACATAGTGAGACCCTGTCTCACAAAAAACAAAACAAAAAAAGTTATGCTCAAACTGGCAGTGGTATCACAGGCCTATCATCCCAGTACTGTAGGAAGCTGAGGCAGGAGGATAGAGTTGAAAGTTTGACCTCAACCTGGGCAATTTAGCAAGGCTGTCTCAAATTAAAACACCAGAAGGGCTGGGAGGGCTGGAGATATAGCTTAATGGTCATATAGCAAGCACAAGATCCTGAGTTCAATCCCCAGTACAAAAAAGCAAAACAAAACAAAAAAGTGCTGGGTAGCTAGGCATGGTGGCCCAAACTTGTAATCCCAGCACTTGGGAGGCTAAAACAGGAGGATTGCTGAGACTTCAGAGCCAGGTTGGACTACATAGTGACTTCAAGGCCAGCCTGAACTACACAGTGAGACCCTCTCTCAAAAAAAAACAAAAAAGGTTGGGGATATAACTCAG